CCTGATCCAGCTTTTCAGACTGATGAGCTTTGTAAAAATCGACGTGTTTCAGAAAGGCGGGGCATAGAGGAGAAACAATAATGTACAGTATGTGGAAAATAATGTGTTTTTTGAACCTTAAACAGCATAAACACATTTCATTACACCAAATACACAAAATAATGTTCTTTTTAGCAACATCATATGACCCCTTTAATAAAGGCAATATGCCAAAAATAAATCTAAAAAACTCAAATAAATATTACTATTTAAAATACTAGTTTTCTATTTTAATAGATTTTAAATTTATTCCTGTGATGCAAAGCTGACTTTTCAGCACCATTACTTCAGTCTTTAGTGTCACATGATCCTTCAGAAATCATTCTAATATGCTGATTTGATGCTCAAGAAACATTTATTGTTATTATAAACGTTGAAAACAGTTGTGCTGCTTAATATTTTTGTGGAAATACATTTTTTTTAGGACTCTTTGAGGAGTAGAAAGTTGAAAAGAGCAACGTTTACTTGAAATCGAAATCTTCTGTAACACTCTAACAGTCTTTACTGTCATTTTTGATCAGTTTGATGAGTCCTTGCTTAATAAGAGTGAATAAAAAAATCTTGCTGACCCCAGACTTTTGAAGGCTAGTGTACATCATTGGAAAATAGTAAACCTCATTCTGTGAAACGCTCATGAGATTCACAATCGCAGCTATCACGGTTAAGGTTACCACCTAGAAACGGCCGTGATCCCTAGAAAAGCAGAGTATCATTTCATTTACAATCACAGACAGCTCCAGTCGTGATGACTTACCCTGATGCAATGAGTGCCCGTGACTGTGCCATGGCGATTCTCTGCAGGGCGGGGCGGCTAAGGCCAGCCAGACTACTGCGAGGCGGCACTGGGGCGGCACAAGCGGCTGAAGCCGTCGACACGGGACCCAGAACACGAGCAGAGGGCGTGGGAGCGCAGGTGGTCGCTGTAGATATAAGGGCATTGGAGGGTGTAGGTGCAGTAGGGTTGGGCGCCGAGGTCGTGTGGGGTGTGGTGGAAGGCGGCGGGGGTGGCGGCACAGCAGGTGGAGGAGGACGGTTGGAGGATATCGACATGGCGGCAGTGGCTGAGCCCAGCAGGGAGAGGGAGTGTCCAAAGCCTCCGCTAGCACCCGAAGTCGAGTTCCTATGTGGCGAGAGGACTCGGGACAGGGATGGAGGGTGAGGCAGGGTAAGGGAGTACGAGTGTCCTCTTGATGGCGCTTTTGGGCTCGGCGGCTTGGGTAAGGGCGGGGGCTTCCGCCCGAGAGTTTGTGCCATGCTAGAGGTCTTGACGCCTAAGACTAGCATACACTGCTGGCAGGAACACGGTTGACCCAGTGAAGTAATAGCAGAAGCTGGGAGAGCTCCACTGGGATAGGCACTGCCATTCCCTCCGCTGACCCCCGAAACACCCACCCCCAGGAGTCCACCGCTTCCAGCGGACGACCACACGTGCGGTTTAGGCAGCGGGCCAGAGACAAGCGGGTAGGCCAGGTCTGAGCGCCTCTGGATGCGCCGGCGCCGCTGCGTCTGTCCGTTGATCTGTGTCATACTCTGCAGGTCTATAAGGTAGCAGAAGCCCAGTGGCGTTAAGTCCAGCCAAGGCTGCTGCCGGTCCCGAGCCGCCTGGATGGCGATGCTGACCTCGGTGTCGTACGGCGTCCATGAGCCCGAGTCGTTCTCCCATTCCCACACCCATCCCTGACCCGGAGCCGACCGCGGGTCGTAGAAGCTTCGCCGCACGGGTCTTAGCGTACCTGTAAGGAAGAGCAGAGATGAGTGATGAGTACAGTTTCTATTCCTGTCTTAATGTATTTCCTTGAAACAGGAATTTGGACATGAAGGTAAAAGGATTGGTTCAACTAAAAATTTTTATTCTGTCATCATCCAGGCACCCTCGTTTTGTATCAAACCCATAAGACTACTGTTCATCTTTGGAACACAAATGATCTATATCTATTTTATTATGAACTTACATTATAATTTGATGTTTATATTTTAATCTCTATGTATATCCATTGAGCAGTGTTTATACACAATGATTTTTGAAGCTATAAATAAAAACATTATTGTTGAAGTATACGTCACAATTAAATACTGTAATACTGTTTGTAATTATTTGTGAAATTGACTAGCAACTTCTGTGAAAATTGTTGCACCACCAAACTGTTTTCAGTGTATATGAATAGCCTAAATTAAATCTGTTCATAATATAAAGCATTTTTCTCTCTTTAGAAGACTTCGATTAAATTGATGAACTTGATTCATATGGATTCCTTTTACAATGTCTTCTTGTACTTTTAATGCATGAATATCTTGGCTGTGTGGGCAAAGATGATGACAAAATATTAAAAAGATATTTGTGTTCTGAAGATGAATGGAAGTATCACAACAACCCCCCCCCCCATGTGATGTATTATTAAATTGTATATGTGTGTACAAAATAAGTCACCTTTATTAATTGATCCACCTTGGAGAGCAAGAATGCAAACATTAGATGTATTTTAGTACTACACCAAAATTTCAGCAACCAAAAATATTCAGCCAAATATCCTCAATCAATCAATCAATCAATCAATCAATCAATCCATCCATACAAGGGGCTGTCAAATGATTAATCACATCCCAAATTAAAGTTTGTTTACATAATATATGTGTATTGTGTATATTTATTATGTGCATATAAATACATACATACATACATTTATACTTTTTACAAATAAATATACAAAGTACACACACATATATTATGTAAACACAAACTTTTATTTTGGATGCGATTAATCACTATTAATTGTTTGACAGCCCTAAAATAAATAAATAATTCTTGAAATCATTGACAAAAACAGTGCCGTTTAATTAAAGCTTCTCCGATGCATTTTGACTGTGTTAGTGTCTTTTTTTTTTTTTTTTGTGCACACATTGTAAAAAAGATACAAACTTGTAAACATGTCAGCCGTGTGGACATAGTTAATAGAGACTGAAAACGATGCTAGAATAGCAATTCATTACATGTAATATTTTAGGCTGTGATATCAAGCTTGTTGCAGAAGCTTGTGGCTCGTTGCAGAAGAACTTTACTACACCTGGTTTAATTTATCATCTAAGAACACAACACCCTGAACAGAGTTCAATTACCAAGTTACTCAAACCGAATTATCGAAACTTTATTTTCAGTTTTGGGTTTTCAGCCAAATGAGTCTTTAACAATGCCAGATGCAAAGATACGCATATTAAAATGTCAAGGATGTTACAACAGTTGAGCGACAGCTGTGACAATACACCGACAGCACAAGATAACTTTTGTTATGTCTTTCCAAAGCAAACCTCTAGAATATATTTCAGACATAATAAAAACAAATAAAGCCTTGTAATGTTTGTTCCAGATTCCAAAGTACAAGAGAACTGTGCTACAGTCCAATTAGTCTCAAAATTTGACAGTCCAACAACACAAAGGTTATCCATCCGACCCCCCTTCATGTCCTCGCTCAACTACCATTCATTTATCCATCTCCTCCTCCCTCGTGTTTTTGGAGCGATGGGCCGCTACCCTTCGCCGACCCTATTCTCTCCATTCCTCCATCTTCCCATGAAGTCTAGTCAGTCCTGCACAATGGCCTTTGTCAGCATGGGTGATGGAGACTCCCAAAATTATGACAGCCAACAATCCACCCCTTTGTTTCGGCTTCACGTTGCCCCTTGTTATAGGTTCAAATCATTCCTTCCTTCTCGCCAGCAGAGCACTCGTGTGCATTGGCAAAAATCATTAAGAGTTCATGGCAGAGCCAATTGAACTCTACACTGAATGACACATAAACAAGTGTGAATTACAAACATGAAGCTGAAAACTGATATCAGTGATCTGACTTGAGAAAAATGAAGAGGCTGTTGCTGAAATGAAGGTTTTGAGGCCCAGCCCAAACATTTTCATAGCACACTGAGCTTCCAAAACATCTGCAGAGCTGAGATTATTAGCGCATTTGATTGATCTCAGAGTAAAGGAACCATATTAATAAAATACAATGGATGTGCTAGAAGATGCATGATAAAATCAGGTAGGATATCGTTCCCTCTCACCGGTATCTTGCCGAAACTGGTGCATAGACTGCAGGTCAATGATGTACGGCGACAGACGCGAGTCGACCTGGCCCAGAACCACGCTGCCGGCGCCGCGAGGGTCGCTGCGGATCACCGCCTCGATGTGATGGGACACCGCCGGGCTGTAGGGTCGCCAGCGCCCGTGCTCGTTCAGCCATTCCCAGACGACCACGGCCGAGGCTAACAACATCTCATACCTACGCGAGGAAAAATGAAATCACGTCCACAATAATGACATCGCGTCTTGACTCAGTTCATTATTTTGCAGCGACTAATTCCCGTGTACGGCACAGGTGCGTTTATAAGCAAGCGATGCATCTGACCACAAAGGGAATGTTATGCAGCACGCTGTGGCAAGCCATTTTAGCATTTATTCCTCTAAACTAACTACTATATATTCTGTTTCTGGTGCATGTTTTTCAATCAGCAAACAAAAGATGACTGTTACACCTGTCATTTTCACTAATAACATGTAATTTCTTTCGTATTACTTTACGTATTACTACCTAGTACTAGTATCGTTGTCTATTGCAGCTTTACTAGTATGTAGTTATATTAGACACTGGTACCTAGTATCTATTTAAGCTGATAATAAGAAATATATTTCCACCTCACACCTTGCTTTTTACTGGTCATATGTATTGACTTTAATAGTAAGTTTAAAATGTTACAAGCAAGCATTGGAATACACTCTAATTTAGTGTGTAATAAGCAGGTGTTCATGTCTATTTAGCTTCCGGGAGAAAAGAAAAACCTGTAACAGGTCCTGGCAACAACTGGAATAAGAACCAATGAGTGAATAGTAAATGATTAATATATGATCCACAGATACCTGTAGAATTCAATAGCAAAAATATGCAATTTGTTACGAGCAGATGTTACTTTTCACTTTTAGAATATTGACCAATAACAAATGAAGTACTAGTAATAGTGAAAAAGAAACAGTTACGGTTGAAATAGGTACTTACTAATAATAAAATTAAGTATTAGTAATATAAAATAGACAGAGACGTTAAATGATAAAACAGCTTGCCACCGAATGTTGTTACATGCAAGCCATTTTAGTAAGGCATTTTCTTCCATTGCATCCTTAAAAATGACCACTTCGATACAGGAATCTGCAAAGAGGATCTTTAAATCTGTTCGCCATCATTAATATTCCCTCTCTTAAAATATATAAAATAGTAGCCTTTCATTTTGTGATGGGGGCTCAGTTACTTGTTTTATCTGTCAATTAAAACCTGTTCACAACTCATATTTTCTAACAGAACGTGCACGATGCAAGCACAGTGCAAAGCAAAAGGCCCGTTTTTTCCCAAATGCGACGAATTAAGACATGCAAGCACTCACCAATAAGAGATCGTTCGTGTTTACTCGTTTGCATTCAGATCGTTGAAGGAGGTAATTCCTTGGGCGAATCCATCTTAACTTGAGCAAAAAAGTATCCGTGCGATATAACAATAGTCCCAGATTTTTTTTCTCAGAGGAAAATGCTAATCGAATTATTGCATTATTTTGCTTTAAAACGCATAGTCGACGCAACGCGCAGTTAAAGATCTCCTTGACGACATGACTCGTTTACCTACTGCCATGTAAAGACATTTAAATCTTATTCTTATCCCAGTAAAGAATGTGCAGGATTCTTCGATTGTTTGCGTGCGTCTGCCTGTGGTCACGCCCATTGGGGGCTGAACTGACCAATGGCATGGCGATTTTGACGCCCACTGGCGTTTAACCGACCAATGGTCAGCGCAGGAGTGCAACTTCCGACTCAAGTATCTCCTCCCCAAATCTTCCCAAACGTACGTGCAGTCGATGTTTTTCTACAGATATAAAATCTGTAAATTTAGCGATTGTCATCGCATAAAATGAGATTAAAGTGAAATTTGTGTTAGTGTTTCGCGTTTTTACGAGTCCGCTATTGTGTTCTTGAAAGAAAAGGTAAGTGGAGATGCCGGGGATTGAACCCGGGACCTCATACATGCGAAGCATGCGCTCTACCACTGAGCTACATCCCCCTCAGTTTTTCACTATCGGAAATCGTGGCTATAAAGAAAGAACCTATTGCTATCTATATGTACTATATGGGTATGTATTACATGGTGGAGCTTGAGCTCCTCTGATGTAGCCTATGGGAAATTGAATTCATTCTTTTCATTTAATTACTAAAGAAATATTCCCAGGACTATGAGTGTGTGATTGTACTTTATAAGTTAAATGGCATAATTCAAGTATCATCTCAATTTATGACTTTAAAAAGCCGACATCGTCTTATTTTACACAATTAGCAAATATGCATTCTTTATCATCGTAATCTTGTCTAACCCCTGTTTAAAATGACCAAAAAATGATAAGAGATGTGGTTCATGGGTTGTAGCCTCAAAATGGCTGGTTGGATTCCCTAATGCTATATCAGGGCACATGTTACGTCCAGGTCACATTCATCACAATGGACATTTTAATGGCTTAATTTTCTTGAAACAAAATATGATTTCTCATGATTCGATATGCTCTACACGTGTTCTTGATGGGTTTTGTGAGATTCACACATTAGTGGTTACAGCGAGGTCATATTAAAACACAAAACAATTTTGACAATAACTGTATTGGCATGAAAACATATTTTTAATAGAAAGATATTTACATCTCACACAAATGTTAACAAGTTTCACAATGTATTTTCACACAGTCAGCATTTGCAGGGAAAAAAACAACAACAGGAAGTGGATAAAACTAACAACTTACAGAAAATGTTGTGGAACCGTTTTACTGGCTTTTAAAGTTAACCCTATAAAGCCTGCTGTTTCATATTTGAAGTGCAAATCTCCTCTAAATTATCAACATGACCAACATTAAGCTTAAGAACCTGTTGCACACAATCTACTATATGCCTTCTGTCATCTGATTGATAGTTTATAGATTCTTTAGCAAATAAAAGTCCTTTATTGTAAAAACACCCCCTTCAGGGTTGATACAGGTCTTTTTACTGTGAAATTTTTGAAATGTAAGAATAGTAATAGGCTATTTCAAGATGAACACTTACTGGACTAAATCAGCTTATGTTTTCTTGATTATCCACACATCATTTTTTAGAAAAATCATGTTAAAATGTGAATATCTAATATGATACAACAATCTTTCGAGGAATGTTTATTTGTACATATCTCAGTCATCATTATATTGCATTACATTATATGTTTTGCCCCCCGAAATAAAAATCTACAGAGGTTGGATAATAAAACTAAGCATTTAAATGCATCTTACTATGAGTGACAACTGACATCTACATGCATTTTATGTAAGTAGTCTTATATACTAAACATCTCATTGACTTACATTACACGCTATACTTTTTCCATATAAATATCAGCCAATGTTTGATGTATCAAATATGATACTCAACAACAACAAAAAAAACATACATGAAAACTTTTGTAAAAATGTGTTTGAAATAGCTTGTCTAAAGGTCCCAAAAATATTTACATAAAAAAAAATTCATATGGCAGGCTTTTAAAGGGTTGAACTGACTCATAGTTATAAAAAAAAATGTTTGTGCTGCCCACTGGGCCAAGCCACCTTATTTCCCGCCTATTAAATTCAAAAGCAATGTCTCCGTGCTTTTCACAAAGCAGTCAAGTCATTTCCATCTTTCTTCTCCTCAGACCAAATTGCACTACCTCTAAACGGCTTCAGATCTACAAGCAATTCCACTTTCTCTGCATTCTTCACTTCTTCACTTCTATCCTCCTCTCCTGCCGCTGCTGCTGCCTCCTCCTCGTCTTCCTCAGCTTGATCCTTCTCTTCTATCTTTTCCATCTGCATCTTTGCCCTCTCCCTCAGGTCAACGCTGGAATAGTCATCTGAAGAATCATGCCCGTCGTCGTCATGTTCCTGTTGCTCTCCCTCCTCTGTGTAACTGTCATTCTGTTTGTCCTGTCCTTCACCCTCCTCATCCTCTTCGTCATGACCTCCTATGTTCTCCTCGTCATCACGCTGTTGAGGCCAAATGCGGACACCGAGTCTGTTTTCCACAACCCCGACTCCTTGTCTCAATCGATCCCGTAGGCCACCAGGGGCGAAGACTATGCGCTGAACGGTGTACTGTCCATTTGTGTCCGCGTTAAGTTTTTTATAAAAGTACAAAAGAGCCAAAACAAGTATGATCCATATGAAGAGGAGGGCGATGACAGCTGGGGTATTGTCTCCATTATTACTCGTGTCTGGTGCCATGACTAAAGAGACAGGGACAATTAATGCAATAACTGAATCAAATGACACATTCATAAAATTCCAAATCATGCATTTAATTAAATATGTTTTAAAAAAGCCAAATAATACATTTATTCAAATTATACTTGACTTTAAATACAATATACAAGTAAAAACCAAATTTCTGGACTCAGTACACTGTAAAAATGCTTTTTTGAAGTTGAAAATAAAGATTATTGGAATAAGTTTTACAAGAAAATACTATTTAATTCTTTCTACTTCAATTTTTCAAATTTAATGAGTCACTTGCATTGCTTTGCAATTATTTCTGAAATTTACTAGCAATTTTTGAGTGAAAATTGTTTCTACACCAATTTTTTGCAGTGTACAAGAATACATAGCAATGCACAGTGTCTTCATCAGTGTTATTTTAGTATCAATATTAGGGATGCACCGATACCGATACTGGTATCGGTATCGGGCCCGATACTGGCCTCCTGTACTCGTACTCGTACTCGTTAAAATGCCCCGATACCAAACGCCGATACCACACAGCATGTATTAGAATGAGAAATGCTGCTCTGGCAACTAGTTGAAATAAAATAAGTATATTTCTTTTATATAATTAACTTTATTTAGAGTAACATTTATTTTATTTCAAGTAACATTGTTTAAAATGTTTTTAGTTTTATACTATAATAAGCCCGTTTTACTGGCTTTTAAAGTTAACCCTATAAAGCCTGCTGTTTCATATTTGAAGTGCAAATCTCCTCTAAATTATCAACATGACCAACATTAAGCTTAAGAACCTGTTGCACACAATCTACTATATGCCTTCTGTCATCTGATTGATAGTTTATAGATTCTTTAGCAAATAAAAGTCCTTTATTGTAAAAACACCCCCTTCAGGGTTGATACAGGTCTTTTTACTGTGAAATTTTTGAAACGTAAGAACAGTAATAGGCTATTTCAAGATGAACACTTACTGGACTAAATCAGCTTATGTTTTCTTGATTATCCATACATCATTTTTTAGAAAAATCATGTTAAAATGTGAATATCTAATATGATACAACAATCTTTCAAGGAATGTTTATTTGTACATATCTCAGTCATCATTATATTGCATTACATTATATGTTTTGCCCCCCCCAAATACAAATCTACAGAGGTTGGATAATAAAACTAAGCATTTAAATGCATCTTACTATGAGTGACAACTGACATTTACATGCATTTTATGTAAGTAGTCTTATATACTATTAGAAACATCTCATTGACTTACATTACACGCTATACTTTTTCCATATAAATATCAGCCAATGTTTGATGTATCAAATATGATACTCAACAACAACAAAAAAAACATACATGAAAACTTTTGTAAAAATGTGTTTGAAATAGCTTGTCTAAAGGTCCCAAAAATATTTACATAAAAAAAAATTCATATGGCAGGCTTTTAAAGGGTTGAACTGACTCATAGTTATAAAAAAAAATGTTTGTGCTGCCCACTGGGCCAAGCCACCTTATTTCCCGCCTATTAAATTCAAAAGCAATGTCTCCGTGCTTTTCACAAAGCAGTCAAGTCATTTCCATCTTTCTTCTCCTCAGACCAAATTGCACTACCTCTAAACGGCTTCAGATCTACAAGCAATTCCACTTTCTCTGCATTCTTCACTTCTTCACTTCTATCCTCCTCTCCTGCCGCTGCTGCTGCCTCCTCCTCGTCTTCCTCAGCTTGATCCTTCTCTTCTATCTTTTCCATCTGCATCTTTGCCCTCTCCCTCAGGTCAACGCTGGAATAGTCATCTGAAGAATCATGCCCGTCGTCGTCATGTTCCTGTTGCTCTCCCTCCTCTGTGTAACTGTCATTCTGTTTGTCCTGTCCTTCACCCTCCTCATCCTCTTCGTCATGACCTCCTATGTTCTCCTCGTCATCACGCTGTTGAGGCCAAATGCGGACACCGAGTCTGTTTTCCACAACCCCGACTCCTTGTCTCAATCGATCCCGTAGGCCACCAGGGGCGAAGACTATGCGCTGAACGGTGTACTGTCCATTTGTGTCCGCGTTAAGTTTTTTATAAAAGTACAAAAGAGCCAAAACAAGTATGATCCATATGAAGAGGAGGGCGATGACAGCTGGGGTATTGTCTCCATTATTACTCGTGTCTGGTGCCATGACTAAAGAGACAGGGACAATTAATGCAATAACTGAATCAAATGACACATTCATAAAATTCCAAATCATGCTATGATACTCGACAACAACAAAAAAAACACGCATGAAAACTTTTTAAAAAATGTGTTGAAATAGCTGGTCTAAAGGTCCAAAAATATTTACATAAAAAAAAATTCATATGGCAGGCTTTTAAAGGGTTGAACTGACTCATAGTTATAAAAAAAAAATTTTGTGCCGCCCAAAAAAAATATTTTAGAAAAGTTTTTATTTTTGTATTTTCCATTTTCATTTTCATTTGATTAAGTTTTAGCAAATTTGTTGCGTGTTTTTGTCATTTCATTTAGTTACTGATCCTTTTCAAAATTCATTTTTAGTTTTCATTATTTTAGTACATTGTTAAACTGAAAATGAATTTAGAATGAGAAATGTTGCTCTGGCAACTAGTTGAAATAAAATAAGTATATTTATTTTATATAATTAACTTTATTTAGAGTAACATTTATTTTATTTCAAGTAACATTTTTTAAAATGTTTTTAGTTTTATACGATAATAATAACCCTGGTGTTTGAGCTTTGGCTGCACTCAGAAAAAAGGTACAAAACTGTCACTAAGACGGTACCCATTTTGTATTCTTTGGGTACTAATACATACTTTTAAAGTACCACTATGCACTTTTAAAGTACTAATATGTACCTTTAAGGTACTTATATGTACCATTTAGGGGTAAATAAAGTACAAAGAGGTACTTTTTAGCTTTTGTACCTCAGGGTACTGCTCTGGACAGCTTTGTACCTAATTTTCTGAGAGTGTGGGTATTCAGCAACATGCAACATGTTTCATAGACTGTAATAACCTGTGGCTTATTTGCCCACACGAACAGCAGCTCCCGCCGTACACTGTTTGATAGTAAAGCCTCAGAAGTGCAGTAGCACGGAAGTAAGCATGCTTGCATTACTTTTGCAATGCACTTCTCTGTGACACCTTTATACACCCTAACACTGCCTGTTAATGTCTAAATAAATGAGCTTCAAACCACTTAACAGCTATTCACAAGCTATGCTAATGGAGCTGTGCATGTGCTCAATTGGATCACAGCAAATTTGTCTCACTGCCAAAATCGTGTGCCAGATTGGATCAAATGACAAATACCCAAAGAAGGGAAAATTAAGTAATTAATTGTTGTGTTTAAAACAACCTGCATTACATGTTTCCCTAAAACCAATGCATAATATGCTTCTAAAATACTAATTATTTAGGTCGCAAGTGAAAATAGAACAGTAATGTTGAACAGTAGATTCTCCGTGATTGTCTTTTATGAGCATGTCTGTATATAGATTTTAGATATGTTGCTCATAAATATTGTCAATAAAATCATACACACCACATGGCAATACAAATCGAAATTATAGCACAAATGAGAAAACACATTACAAATCTAGTCATAATAACTCACCTTTATTCAACTGCCCTTAAACCCATAGCCCACGAGAGCATAAAATAGAAAATTCAAATCATCAGATCATATAGGCAGGAAAGAGGGGCGGGGAGAGAGAGAGAGAGAGAGAGAGAGAGAGAGAGAGGCCACTTGCCATTAGGGTGTGGGTGATGACAACTTTGATTTTGATGTAAAATATACATTTTAAACCCATTTTTCAATATCTGTTTATTATTTTGTTTCATCATTTTTTAATTACTTGACTTATTTAACGGTTACTCAAATTTAAAGTTTAGTGGGTAATTTTGAGGTAAATGTAGGCTAATAATGAAATATGCATATGAATGTAAAAATAATACATCTAGCTTGAACTTCAGAATGATCATCTGATCTAAGAACCTAATTGACTAAATATGCACATTTTATAGTTAAACACAAATATTTCAAAAGAAAGCATGTTCAAAGATATCTGGTATATGGAGTCCGCACAGGAAGAGTTGAGTGGAACATAGTTTCCTTTAGCTAGAGTTTGAGCGATGAAGCACGAGTCTCTCTCAGACCACATCCTGTTGTAAATGTCGAGTTTAAAGATGCTATGAACCATGAAAACAAGTATGCCTCACTGCTTGTGCAGTGCAGAGAAGCAATGCGCAATGTAACAAAAGCCTTGATACAGACGATGTCTGTTTGTTACACAACACCTCCAAAGCTGCAATCATATCGTGACATAATCTTTGATATTAGCCTTTCATGTTTTTAAAAATACCATTTGGACATGCTCTCGCCTCAAGTTACAGTTATATGTGAGAAGGGTCGTGGAGTCGAGATGCAGGTCAAATTTAGTTCGAGAAAAATATTTTTCTCAATCATAGCTGGTCAAGTATTCCTCAAATTAGTTTTTAATGTCACTGCACATGCCATTTTAGTTTTAGAATTTAGATCAGCCTTGGTTAACCTTAAAGGGATAGTTCACCCAAAAATGAAAATTCTGTCATTAATTACTCACCCTCACGTCATTCCAAACCCATAAGACCTTCGTTCATCTTCGGAACACAAATTAAGATATTTTTGATGCATTCTGACAGCTCTCAGACCCTCCCATAGACAGCAAGGGTACTACCACGATCAATGTCCAGAAACGTAGCAAGGAGAAAGCGAAAAAAAAGACTTTATTTAACAATTCGTCTCCTCCGCGTCACCCTAGCGCCATTTTGGAGAATATCCACTGAACCACCAGCATATGCTGGTTTTTTCAACAGTACCCTTGCTGTCTATGGGAGGGTCAGAGAGCTCTCGGAATGCATCAAAAATATCTCCACTGAACGCAAACAGTGTATGTTGTTCTGTGTCAGTTGCACCACACGGATACTTGTTTTCGTTCAAATCAAAGCACAAACAATGTAGAAGACGTATCCGCGTGACGCAGCTCACACAGAACAGCATACGCTGTTTGCGTTCAGTGGATACTCTCCAAAATGGCGCTATAGGGAACTATCCCTTTAACTACTACTTAGTTTCCAAATTAGCCAGGAAATGTGCACATTTACATGAGATATTCCTGTCTAGCACTACGGTTAGCCTTTCACTTCTAAAATTAGCACTATACATTTAGTTTTGACCTCAACCACAGGCCCGATGGTAAAATTGGTAAGTGCTTGTTAATGCGATGACTAATAAAACCAGCTTCTATACAGTAGAAATGGGTGAATGTTGTTTATTAAAAAGAACAGATTCAGTTAGCACTTAAGTTTTAAGTAAATGGATGCTTAGATAATTTACAACATATACAGCTGATAAAGCTAGACTTAAACAAAATCATTCACAGAGGAGGATGAGTCGACCCTCGGTTTGAGTCATCCCTGATTGTAGTGCCCATGATTAAAGACTAAAAAGAAAACAAATACAAAAACAACACCATCTAAACCTATCAACATCACATCATTCTACTATTATTTTTCAGATTCAATCAAACAGGAATGAAGCACAATTATTTATCGAGAGGTACAGAATGAATCTCAAACAAACCTGCCAAAAACATGTCCAGGTCACCCCAAATCAAAGGAATGATATATATAATGATAATTATGGTTTAAAAAAGAGAAAATCTTTCTTTTTTCATTTTCATGACAATAAGGCATATTTTGGATTACCATATTGTAAAACTCAATAATATATCATAGTAGTATTTGTTGTACTGCCTTAAATTTACTCTGGTTTAAATGTAAAAAATAAAATAAAATACAAAATATTTTTTTTTTTACTGCAATATGGTAAAAAGAGTATAAGGAATATAACCAAAATCGATTAATTCTGAAAAATATGAATTAACAAAATTATAATTACAATATCCAGAATATACTTAAATCAGTGGTGAAAATGTCAAATAAAAATCTTATTATACTTTTGGCTTTTGGGTGAAATTTGACCTGGACATTTTTCTTCCTATAAGACCTGCATTTCATTTCGGAAACTCTTGCTCTAAAGTTTCTTCATTATATTGAAAGCTCACAAATTCCTTCAACACCAAGTACAGTTTCTATCACATGCTACTCACATATCCACATAATTAAACTTTAACAACATCCAAAATCAATGCTACGTGTGTTAAGACATACAAATGGAAGAGAGGAGCTGTTGAGGGCAGCTAAACACAAGAACAGTGCTGGTCAATGTACGCATGTTGATTAACACCATCGAGCTTTAGTGAAAGAAAGCAATCAGTTCAGCATGTTGGATCATTACATTTCCTGAAGGTTTCAAGATTCAAACTACTTTCATTAAGTAGAAGCATTTCTAAATGCTGAGGCTAGGCTACAAGAGATTATCAAGTCTGCTTTTCATTTAAAGTTTGCATGATTATGCAAATATTGACCCAACCAAATTCAGACTTCAAAGTCTGTAGTTAGCAGTAGTAAGTACCTGATGTAACAGCCCTATTAAAAGCACAAAATGAGCAGCATTTAGAATATTAATATCAGTGCATTAAATCCCAAAGTGTACCGATAAAGCTCAAAACTCAAAGCTCAATTGTGTCTTTGTATCTCTGCGCCACAGTAATGGAACTACATTTCCCATAACCCTTCAGTGAAGCTTTCTGAATCTGGGTAAGGCTATGTGTTGTGATATGTTTGTAGTTTCCTTCACACTTCTCCATCCTCAATACGGGCGAGCTGCCTTTCCAGGACGTCGATCCTGTGACCCTGAGCCAGAACCAGAGCACGCAACGCCCGAATCTCTGTCAGGATATCAGAAACTTGGTCCTCCTGTGCAAGAAAGAAAAACATTTGAGCTTTCACATTTGGGCATAAAAATTCACATTTAGGCTTTAAAATAAACAGGCAAGTATCAAGTCAAAACTTGAGGCATATAAATAATATATTTAATATAGTGCTGGGCAATGATTAACCATATAATTAATGATTAATATTATATATAAATATATTTAATATATAAACATAACATTTTTCTTAAAGTGCCCCTATTATGCCATTTCCAATATTGTCTTTCATGCAGTGTGTAATTCCGTAAGTGCACGATAAATAAAGTTATTGTCTCCCAAAATAAAGAATCGACTCTCTACAGCCTAAACGAGTCGTTAGTAATTCGAATCCCACTTCCGTAACGGCTACACGTCACGGGGTGACACATTTGCATAATTCCCGCCTTTGTTCTACGTTGGCCGGCCGCAAACAACTTGACCCCGCCCACAAACATATCATTTTACTGACGACTGCTTCTCTAATCTCGGGGAGTTCAACGCGGGAT